GTAAAGGCTATGCGATCTCTTGCTCATTATTGATGGGATTAAACAAGCTTTATGAATATTCCATGCACACTTTAGGTTAAATTTCATGCGTACATTTGTTATTTTTCCCTGACGCCCTCTAAACTATGCGATTTTAATATTCAGTGACTTTGAAATGCATCTTTTAGGTTACATAATACAATTATTGAAACAGATTTTGAGAAGAGCGCACCAGATTTTTAAAACTCGTGAACTGTGTTTTAAGGTGAGTGAGCATTCTTGTACCTTGTATTACTAAACATTTCCACTTATTCATTGTCATTCCGCCCTCTTTCCTACATGAGATTTTCGCCTCCTTCAGCTATAACGCGCCGAAGTCCTTCACTCAAACTCTTCACAAATCTTTTCAAATGACTCACTTCCAGTACTCTCCAAAGCTCTTCATCCACAAGTTCATTGAACGGATCCAAGTTTAGACGGAGAGTTCCAGAAAATAACACGAACTCCTATAGGTAAAGGTGAGTAAGAATGGAATGAAAACAAAAAGTAAACAAGTAAAAAAAGTATATTTTGATTTCATCATAAACACTGAAACACTTTCCTCCCTTCTGACCAAGTATCACTATTTTTCTTATGTATTCAACGGATGACGTCCCGGTACTCAATCGTTTGAGGTGCTGAAGTAAGAAAACGGATAAATTTCCTTAAAGACCCTAAAAAGCGATGTAACAGCCCTAAACTAGAGCGAATGAGTTTGTAGCTAAAGATGCCCAGGCTCCTTTCCCATTGTCACTGACAAGCGCTTTCTTTCCAAAAAAACAGCATACAAGTGTATCGAAAACATTTTGTTCTCGCTCTACCACTTTAAACCGCGTTGCCTCCCATGTTTCACCTGTGCAATAATGGTAAGCCGCGAACAGAGATCTCTGAGTACAATGGTAGCAATATAAAGACCATCGATGACAATTTACTACCCGGTATCTCAAGAATACGAAACAAGGCTAAGGCCAGGGACGGTTTCCCAGCTCCTGTTCGACCCACAATGCCAATTTTATCGAGCATCGAACAAAGCTATATTCGTAACTGAGAAAATGATGATAATGATAATGATAACAATAACAACTGAGTGAACAACGCGTCATATATATATCATATTAGTAGACTTGAGGAAGTTCTTCTAACGACTTAACTCAAAAGGTAACTCGGTGTTTGAAATAAAAGTCAAACACCGTGTTACCTTTTGAGTTAAACCGTTAGAGGAACTTCTTCAAGTATACTAATATAAGGATAAGTATTGCTAACATTTAGAAAAGTCATTACTACTAAGAATATTATGATTATAACATAATAATGGGATTTAGCAGTGGACATTCCACTAGGAAGCTCTCCTTGTCATTGTCTCCAGGTCGAATTGAGAACTGGAAATGTTGGTTTTTGAGGAGGGAGGAAAACCGGAGGACCTAGACCAAAACCCTCGGAGCAAGGACGAGAACCAACAACAATCTCAATCCAAAGGTACACCGTCGTTTCGTACCCAAGTTTGAGTCGGTTCGCACCCAAACCTAACCGCTGGTCGATCCGTAGCCAAATTAAACCGCTGATTGATTCACACACTTATTCGAAATACTTCACGCTTGCGCATGAACAGATGTCAATCAATGCGTACGACAATTTCGTAAAATACAAACACAATTCCGTTGTGTGTACTTGTGACGTTCTTAAAAAAAGCAACTTAGTTGTTGCTTAACGCAAACTAAAGACTGATATTTTAAAAAAATTGTTTATAATTCATTTACCTCTCCGTTGGCTTGATTATAAAGGTTATATTTCTCAGAACCAAAAGAAGTCCTTCTCTGTATCACAACTGGAAGTTATCAAATAAAACTATTCCCTGGTGTGGCTAAACACGAGACGGCCGGCTATCAGGAATGACTTTCCGTTTGGAAATGAAGAAAAAGGTGAATTGAATGATGTATATGCATCATTTAATATTTCAACCACAAAAGTGGCAAATTTGAATTCTACCTCGCCTTTTAATACCGAGAAGTAGAGAAGAATGGAACTGAGAAAGGTTATGATAATTCTTTCTAGGTTCTTTTAGTGAAAGTATACTTGTTTTGCGCTTCTTGGAATATCTTTGGTGATACGAAAGTCGTTTGCAAAGCAATTTCCTGAGTACATAAGAACTGCCAACAAAATTTTCACGGACTCTAAATGGATCATGTGCCTTCTAGACAAATAGATTTGTTTCAAATTCGAGAATTCATTTTCACACCTTAGGTGGTTAAGTTTGTAAAACTGTTTAGACGAAAAATTACGTTTGAATATGTCCAAAGTCGTTCGATGAGAAAAATCATAAATACTGTCGGCAATTACTTGAAGTCAATTGGTTTGCACCCCGGAGGAAACATTCAGGAAAATCTACTCAATTTGGTAGACTCGTGTAGTAGTCCTACGATAGGCGAAAAGATCCATTCACCGCTAACTACAAGATCCATCAAATTGTTTCCACACTTTCTTTTTCTTCTTCGTGCGTTTTAAATGGTCAATGATTTGATTTTCATCCACCTCTATCTGGGTATCAAAATACTCCTTCACTCTTTCAATTGCTCCTAAGTTGGTGTCCAGTTTGCTTGACATCTAATCATCCAGGCAAGTTTTTTAGTTATCCACAAAACCGATTAGAATAAAGGAAAAAGGAACATTCTAATATATGACAACATAGTCAGGTCAGTCGAAATTATAGAGTACTCTCCTGTGAAAAGCATGCCTTTCCATCAAATGCTCTGTGGTATGTCAAAAATGAGGAAAAGATGAAATAAAGAAAGTATTAGACTTAATCAACGCTATTTACAATGTGGTATTCGTAACATCTTCTTGATCAAGTGTTAGTTCATGACAGATATCATTTGTCCTTTCCTCTTATTCCTATTTTCAGTAAGCGTTGTGTTCATAGCTGGATGTCTTCCGAAACAACATGAAGTCAGAGCTAATCGAAACTGGGCGATTCTTAATACATAAAAGACTTACAAAAGAGTTGGAATAATTGAAAACGTTAATCAGAAAATGAAATTTCCGTTGTACTGGAAGAAGCCAGACAGATATCTAGTAGATTTATATAACTAAAGGGAACCAAGTCAGAAAAGTTAAGCCAGATACTAATAATAATATATTTGTTAAGGGCTTGTTCTGTAAGTCTCTTGATTGTTGTTGTGAGGAGGCGGCAGTTCTTTGAAATTTTCTCCAACTACTAAGGATTACAGCCACACGTGATTGACACTAGAATCAAAGTATGTGGCCCCCAAATGAACATGTTGTGTTTGTAAAAAAGAAGGAGATTTAATGCAATCCTGGTCGCAGAGATAAGGAGGGCGAGTGTCCACACTGTAAAAATAACACTTGTGTATACTCGTGTTGATAATGTTCGGTGCTTCACCGGCAGAAATATGGATATATTCAAAGGATATGAGGGTTCCGAAATAAGCGAGGCCTGCGAGAAAAAAAATATCAAAGATCAGAAGAAAATATAGAGAGGTTTGTTGGTCTTCTCCCTTCCAATCCAACTGGCCGGAATTCGAAGCCGACATGGTAAGTGAATATAGTAAACTCACAACTCCCAACGACAGGTCGGCAAATGCCATGTTAACAACCAGTGAGAAATGGTACTTGTAAATATTTAACGGTTAACGGTTAACCTCACTGAGACCTTCTTTAAACAGGTCACCAACCCTTCATATTCAGCTGTTCTTCGTAGTCTTTCTTCCATTATCACCCCCGCCTCTGACTGGTTATTGATTGTCAACAAGTATTTTCCTTGTAAATAACCATTTGTTTAAAGAAACTGGAGTTGTCTTACTCTGAGATATTCCTTAACTGGTAATAGTAATTGTTCGAGGGCAAAAAGCTGCCAAAGCCGGCAATCCTTGAGAAATGCAAATTGATGAAAGTTTTCGGACATTGAATACAAACAGTGCTCAGAACAGAAATACAAAAGTGCCTCAATGTGATATTGATTTCTATCGTGATTAAAAATACCAAGAGCCTTCGAGTATACTCAAGTAAGCTTGGCATTACGAACTTTGCTGGTAAGGTCGGTTAGGGCTGAATATTCATGCGGGCGCCCATGTTTAACTCGGCAAAACGGTTGGTCATGAACTCATCTTTAATTCTCGGTCGCCTGTCATTTTATCGTCGTTGAACAAACCCGCGGCTTAACCTCAGATTAAGAGGGAGAAAGATCAGTGAAAGACGGCGATTACACGAAACAAGAAATATGAAATCATGCAGTTCTAGGTGCAATATCAGCGGCAGAGCGAAGAAACCAGACAGGTTAAGATCAGGTCGTATAACGCGATTCGACCCAGGCCTCCCTCATCCGTTCCCTACCGTTAATACCTCATCGTTTCCTATTTCCCTTCGTTTACTGAGTAAACGCCTTTAGTAGGCTAACATCCTTTTCTTATTGAAAATTATCGGCTTTGTGTTTTTTTTTAAAATTTACTCAGTGAGTTTAGTTTACCATCTGAAACGAACATCTCGTTAGCCTCTGAATTTTAATTTCATCACTCATCTTCCCATTCTTGTTTGTCACAGTGATTTTCAGGGCATTGATTACAGTTCCACCCTGTTTCATTGTCGATTTTGGCGTCCAGAACAGCTTATAATACGTGACTAAGCGCAGCAAGTTTCCCGAAAGTGGCCTTCTTTAAGTCTTATTGGTGGCGGGTAGAATGACAGCTCTTACTCGCTAATTAAATCAGTTAAATGTCGCAAATATTGATAAAATTATGCGTTGTTTTGGAAAAAAAGAGAATATTCTTTTGTTGACGTCAATAGCACGTCGGCACACTGATAGGTCATAAGTATCGACCCATAATGTAGCGCGTATTATTAAGCTCGTTATATAATCTTAAATATTGTTCTAGTTCCATTTCTTTTCATTTAGCCTCGTGTGCACAAAAGAAACAAACGTCTATCACAACTCACTCCTGACTCAACAAGGACCAACATTCCTGCGTTTCCACAGACATTTTAGTGATCTTATCGTCAGATAAGTGCAGGACCCTCACTCAATCAAAGACAGTGAAGACCAGTGATCATAGCGGACGTCTCTCTCGCAGCACTTCATGACGCTTGAGGTAGGATTGGTTATCAAATTCACACTATCCCTTAAATTTGATTCCAATTTTTGTGTAGGGAAATGTAGCGTATATGCGCGAAGTATTCTAGGGAAATACATGATAATAGAAAATGTTATAGACGAGGATCTGTTTACAATTAGAAATTCCTGTTTCCTTCAAAACCTCTTTTCAGATTTTTGCAAAAATGAAGTTCTACACAGCATGGATGGTTTTGACTTTTCTTGTCATCTACCTCTCTGATTTAACCCAGGGAAAGGATGAAGGTATTGATATTCTTTGAGTTTCTTCACGAGATTGTTATTTGTTTGATGGTTGGAGATGAAGTGAGGGGTAATTTAAGCTTGCAATAGATGCGGTGGCCAGCGCTCTCGAATCCGAACGAATGTTCCTGGTTTGAACCCTCCGTCGCTATTATCTTTTTGCCAACTGCTTCTCTTTGTTTTCTTTTCTTTGTGTTTAACAGGGATTCTATTTTCATTGCGCTTCTGTCCAACCAGGCCCTGGTTTATTCGAAAGGTGGATAACACTATCCACGAAATAAATCGCTTTCTGCTGGATTGTGCCATACGTTATGCTATCACTTAACTGAATAACGAAATATCCATTGAATAGTATCATCCAGCGTTTGAACAACTGGACCCAGGAGTACAAACAGATCAGGGAAATTATCACGGGGCGCTATTTAAATGCGGAGGTGGGTGAAAGGACACTGGGGAGGGGGGGTGGGCTGGCATTTACGTGGACAAGTTATGAAGTGGGACGGTAGGTTCACGTGCAGACCTTCCCTAACCGATCCACGGTGTAACTGGTTGGACAGGTGGATAGGGACTTAAAAGATGGGAAAAAAGGGATTTGGCAAATCACAATTGCTCAAACTTAGAGGGGTAGGATAGGGTTTTTATGGAGAGAATAACGAAGGTTGATTAAATTCGACAACTGACCTGTGAAGGCGAAGTGAATACTGTGGACATAAATTATCTGCGCTTGAACCTGTATCAGAGCGTTTATTTACTTTGTCAACCTCTTCTTCAGTTACATTGAGAGGCATTCTTGATTAAGATTAGAGTTTTATTATTGTAATCAGGGCAAAAAAAATTGCGAAGGGAGACTATGATGAGATATGACACAATCTTCAACAAGTCAGAGAGTGCGCACAAGCACGATTAAATATGAGTACACAGTACTAATAGTGCTATTAATGTTATTCAATGAATTTCTTTCAGCTCACTGGCAAAAGATGAACACCTCACCAGTCTGCTTTGGCGCAAAGAATAACAAGTTTGGCAAGTTCCGTGCTCCATATGGTGGAAAACTGGCAGCTGTAAAACTGGTCTATCTGCACGGCTACGTTACTTGCGCCGTAAATGCAGCAACCCCCCAGTGGTCCTTTTGGGGCTGCGGTAACAGGCCCTCTGTCAGAAACCACATCAATGGTGTCATAACAACATCATCCAATAGCATCATTTTACCACCGAGTTAGATCTTTACTCTTGGAAGAGGGAAGTGGTCGGAGATTCCCGGATACAACTTGTTTTCCCCCGAGATCATTTTGTCTTTCATCTCCGGTAGTCAGTCAGTCCATGCGGGTGAACATCTACGTTTTTTTAACGGAGAAGATTACTTGAACTAGACGGAAGGCGACAACGATGGACGAGTCTGTTGCGATGTTTACGCCCTTTATGTCGAGTATTCATACTAGTTAAAGGTTCAGGTGAGTTTTCAAAAGCATAAAAAGAGCCTTAGTGTCGTTCATTTTTAAGCTTTCGTAATGTAATGGATCCGCTTTCGGTGATTAACACAGTTCTATAAATGTTCGTAAGCTATCACAATTTAAAATCATGACGTTTTCGTCAAATCGCAAATAGCGAAAGTTGTAGTTTTTGCAGTCTGTTTTCAGCGTTTTTGCACAAATGTGTGCATTACAGAGAGCAAGAGTTGTTTTTGCAATTTTTCTGTAAGAATTAAACGAAAGGTGAGAAAAATTTGAGTTCATTGTTACTGTTTGCCATTCCCGCCAACCTCCGGGTTAAACTAACATTCAACTCTAAAAGTTAAACTACATAATTCAGACCGTTCCTTAACATGACTGGAACTTTAATCTCTCTATTAAAGTAGATAAATTAAAAGTTTCATCGTTCAATCCCATTTGTTAATGACTCCTCCAGATAAGGTGGCCTGAAAGTTAGAGCCCTGAGCCGGGTTGTTCAAAGCTGCTTCAAGAAAACCCAGAATGTAAAATCTGATTTTTGTTTTGGAAACTTCGAAAGAAAATTTAATATAGTTCTTTTTGTCTAGAATTTGATTATTGGATGCCCTAAAAAGAACAGAGAGAATGATCTAGAAAAGGCATTTGAACAAAGAAATAAAGAACTTCTGATTAAGATTTAACCTTGGGTTAGCACTAATCGGCCTTCAAAAAACTGGGCCCTGGACTCTGGTCTGAATACTTAAGGTTTGAGACGTGTGTGATAAATAAGAGTACTGCATTTCATGGGTAAAACGTCATTTTTATAGGGCTTCCCTCGACCTGTAGTTTAAGTGAAACTGCCATGGAAATCCGACAAAACAAGAAGGTCTTGGGGGGGGGGGGGTTAGCTTAAAACTTGCTTTCTAATGTTACCAATGCGAGATAAATAATTGACCCTATCAGAAAACCGTAGCCTGCGTGGCCAGGCTGCTAAGGAAGGAAAGAGGGGAGGAGAGAGAAGATAGGTGCGACAAGAGAAACACTCAATAGTGTCTCCTCTGTATACTCTGCTAGTAACGACTGATCCCCATTCCGTGTCCCCCGAAAACCATGTGATCCCCACCTTCCCTCTCAAAATAAAATCCTCCGACCTCCTTTCTCAGGCGATGAATATTTACTGATCCGTAAACACTTTAACTCCTAAGATCTCATCATTAGTTCTCCATACTGACCATACAGTTATTGTGATGTTACGTAGGAGAATTTGGTATTGCATCAACTAATAATCCCCCAGGAATATTTTTCTCTATTCTCATCACTTGTGTGCATGATATTGCAATAATGCTGTGAGGGGAAACTCTGCTTTGGTCACTCATGGGAGTTGAAGGGTTAAGCCTTCCTCAACACAGTTACATGTGACACGGTGACTTTGGCAGGCCACAAAGAAAGATTTATCGATACAAAAATTTCCTTACACAATCAAGAAGATAATTTAAAACAGTAAAAACACAGAAGCAAGCATACAACAAAAGGAAGATGACATAAATGCTAAACTCAGATGCTAACTGCTGAAAACGAGCAAGGGGGCGTTATTGACCCGATTTGCTCATCCTCTCCCAGTTGCCGTGGGGATCACATGTAAAAGCGGCCCTGTGAAAAATGCAGTCGAGCTATTCCCCCGCAATTCTTCAGTTCGGGTAAATTTACGTTGTTTTTAGGAAAATTGCTGAGAGACGTGGTCTTGATTCTTCTGATCCAAGAAATAAGTTCCTTTTTAATCATTGCAAGATGACTTAATATAGAAATGAAATGAAATTTAGGACTTTTTTCATGCTCAAAGTGCGCGTTGAGAAGTACCAAAGAGGAGGGAAAGTTGTTTGAGGTGCAGCGTTAAGCACTTCAAGCTTCTAAACATAACGATACGAACAAAGATTGGTTTCGTTTGTGGTTGACTTCAAAGTTCTCAAACAGGAGGTTTTTGTCGCTTTTTACCTTAGTTTCTCAGACTTACTGGCTTTAAGTTCCTTCTGCTGACTGTCAGGAGATTAAAATAAGGTACTGGCCATGCTGGCAGCTAAAATAATCACGCGAAATTCACCACAGTTGATATGCAACTCCCCACGTCATGACATACGAGCACGTCCCCTTTTCTCTACAGATAGAGATCATGATGGGTAAATTGAAATTAGAGAAGACCAGTGTCTGTGCTATTTCGTACTTAGGCTCAGCTCTCGCTTTGAGACACTGTCTGAAACACAAGCCATACAGCTCTCACAAATGGCAGTTTAACGTGGTTACAATATCGCGATGACAGTTGCTTCGGACAAGGTGTTGACATGAAATGATATGGCTTGTCCACATCTTTGGATCATAAGGCCGCTTTAAGTCGCTTGACCATTTCTGTAACCAAAAGTAGAACTTTTTGTGCCAAAGTCACTGCGAAATCCTTTGGCGAATAATCATCTCAGCCAAAAAAAACCTAACAGAAAGATAAACGAAAGGGAAAATGGAGAGCATGCATGTCAGGGCGTTCCATTCATTCCTTTGATAACCCTTTTTTTTCTCCCGCTTCTTATGCATCCCCTTTATAAGCCATTTGTCTGTTATATTATCTTTGTCATTGAACCGCACGCATGATGGCAAGCGAACTCTTTTGTACCCAGGCCTGATCCTTATGTTCTACTCGTTCGTATCCGCCATTTTTTACCAGTGGTTTGTGTTGTCTTCGAAATCCGACTTTGTTTACAAATTAAACTATCACCGCTTTTAAGCTATGTTCAGTTGTCACGCTTTCATCGTTGACTAGAGATTGATTTGCAGATGATGGTGAAAACGCAGAATAATTATAGCCGTTAACATGTGTTCAAGTGGGTTTTTTGTCTCTGATTTTAGATTTAAGAATCATCGAGCAAACATTCTATACTCTCGACAGATAGACTTTAATGACAGTGAAAACTTAAAAAGGTAGATTCTACTGTGAATTCATAGCAGAATGTTTTCGTCAACATTGTAATGATCAACAGAGGCGGAGACGTTTGAAAGAGTCTTCGCGTCACAGGGGCCCAATTGTTCCGAAAATAATTTCAAAGAACAATGACTCATCGTTTGAAAAAATTCTGTTTTGAAAAGTTTTTAATCGATACCTCTAGGAATAGCCAGGGTTTTTTGAAGTTATACATCGTTCTCAAAAGGCTCCTTTTCAGTGAGCAAATTCCTATGGACAGTGTTCCCAACCTTACAGAAAAAGACAAATTTCTAAATTCATGCTGTGTTGCGTGGAAGAGGTCCAAGAGTAGCTAGCGGCAATAGATTTGTTCAAAGAAAAGAATACATCTTACGGCCTCTTTCTTGAAAGGCTAAAAAGTGTGCATTCTTTACTCCTTTATTAAAGAAATAATAACATCATATGACAACCACGCATAACTAAACCACAAAGACTAATTTACGTCATACTGGGTAGGCAAGCAGGGCAATTTAGTTTTAAGACAGTCTTAGTTGCTCTATTACTTTTGCAACTATGAATACCTTTGGTCACATTTTCAGATCCACGGAACTTTATCTAGATATGGACTATTCCAGTTTCTAACTGATTTGTTAAATGTATGAAAGAAAGTACCATTGATGCTAGATAACAACTGAAGCATTTCCGAACTTTGAAGCATAACATGTTTGCGTGTCAAAATCCTATGAAAACAGGTGCTATTTTAGCATTCCTATTGTGTATCGGCCGCGCTTGATCAGCGTCTTTTTCGGATGATTGGCCTTTGAAGCGCTTGCACGTGATAGACATTTCTTGCGCAGCGGATGCGGTTAACTAAGCTGGAGGGCAAATTATGATATGATGAAAAATATACAGATCTCGTTTACAAAGATTCAGTGCAATGTCGTGTGTAGACATGCGCTAGTGCATTACTTGAAACTAAGCTGTTATCGTCTTAAACTGAAATAAATCGAAGAAAATTAGGTTTACAATGTAAGAGTAACCCAATGGATCTTAGAGTGCTGGCTGTTTCATTTTAAAAAGGGAAAGCCCCTTCTTTTGTCCCTGTAAACATTTATCATTCGATGAAAGTTTCCAGACGGAAGATGACAACAAGTAAATTAAGTTATATAAAGTATTCAATAAGAACAGGCTTATCTAGAATATGCTGTTTTGACAATGTAAGAAATGAGAAAGAATGGGTAGGAGTGATACATTTCAATGAGATACGACGGGGAGTAGATGAAAATGAGCTGAAAATTTGACAGTAGTCGCCTTTATTTTATTTTTATTCGCACTGATCCATAAATATATATTAAATACCTCAAGGTGTTTCCTCGAACATGCTTCTATTTTTCATTTAATCCAAACTATAACAACATTCTCGAACGTGAATGGTTACCATCAGCCCGATCTGAGCGCTAATAGGACAGTGTACTTGTCATGCTTGTAATTGCCTCAGAACAATGAGGACATACCCTGACTTTAATCGTCTAACACTCCTGGCAACTGCTACTGAACAGTGATAAACACAATCAAAACCCGCAGCAATAAAATCACTATCTGTAGCATCTGGTGCGCTGGCAGAAATAATGAAGGAAGCTGAAAGTCCTGTGTCAGTAAAAAGAAGGTACTATATATGTAAAAAATTCATTTACGAAAAAAGAGGCCAGAGTCCAAACTCCGTAGAAAATATGTACCGAACTTGTTAAATGAACCAAAACATTTGGCTGAAATAAAAACTCCGAAACTTCTTGAAATTACAAACAAAGGAATAACAAATTTACGCGAACAAAAGCTCGAAAACAACTCACTAAAACTCTGCGAAAACAAACTAAAAGTACGCGACAAATGCCACGTCAGTTTTCCAGTGTCAAGGTTAGAGTTCTTGAACGTGATTGGCTAATTTGTGAAACCACGCGTGCCGCGCGTGAATACGAAAAGAATACGAAGGGGGAAGAGAAAAATTGCTACTTGGAATTTAGAATGAAAGAAATATTCTACAATGTATTCATCAAAAGCGTTCCACAAGATACCCAAAACATTTTTGCTGCCCTAGTAAGTAACATATGGTGGGAACGGTTTAAGAACTTAATTCCTTTCCAAAGATAAGTTTCTTTCGTGGGTGTAATGAGAGCCAATCTGATTGCAAGGATCGCAAGAGATTTCAAAACTATGCAATCAACTATCTTACGTGTTAGGGATTAAGCTTCTCTGTACATCTTTACAAACTTCTTTTATCATACGTTTTGTG